TCAGAAGCCCTATTTGTAGCTGGAATTTAGAGAGGAGCAGAGGGATGGTTAGAGAAATCATGGTACTTACACTTTCTGTGTTTTGAATACTGGGATTGTGCATACCTCCTGATTGCTGCCTACTATAGTATAGTGATCCCATGGCTATAGTATAGTGATTCCAAGTGCACACTTAAAGAGTATGGCAGCAAGACACTTCTGTGGAGGCATTACACTCCTAAAACAAGAGATATGGTTAATAACGCCTTTTGTATGGATTCAGGCGCGTATGTGAAATTTAGAGTGTATGGCTGTGGTAATCTGCCATAGTTTTAACAGTGTAGTAAGATGTATTAAGCAGATCCAGAAGACTGAGTGGGACTGATATTTCAGAAGTCCTGAGCATTGGCGGTTCCCAGTGACTCCAGTTAAAATCATGGCTTTCTAACATCTCTGGGGAAAAATCAAGTCCTGTGTGGTTTAAGATGACTGCTTTCATAGGTAACTGAACAACTAGAGCATTAGAGAGCAGAAAATGTATGGGTCAGTTTATGACAGCAACAACCTCTATTGGTAACATAGTAAAGACTTTGTCTTTGTATTTGTTATGAACTGTAGTGCACCTAGTATTTAACGTCTACTCTTGCAATGACAATGTGAATTAGTGTGTGTGGTTTGTGTATAGTGTTGTATGGCATGGAAATAACATGCGGGGGGGGGGTTGATGATGGAAATTGAGGTATGGGAGCTAAAGTAAGATTGCTTGTATGTATTAAAACTTATTTTAAGTTATTCCTCCCCCCTTGAAGTTAGATTTTATATTTTCAAGTTTAACTGGCTTTTTTTAAACATAAAACAAAGCAGAATCTTTTCTTAATATTTCTGTGGAAAAACCACTAGCTTGAATAGCTGTATTATTTCATAAGAGGCTTATATTTGTAAAAAATTGATAATCTCAGTATAAAACTTTTCCAAGAGACTGTAAAAGGAGAAAGATCAAGAGAGATTTGTTTTCGCTGTGTGCACATACTAACATATGCAGTATATTTTTATATAGGGTCTTTTTTTAAGAAAGAAGTAGACTTTAGTACTTTTAAAGATTCTTGAAATGACTCATTGGCTGAAATGTTAGGTCACAGAATTTTGTCACATTATGATAGAATGTTCATATACAAAAGGGTAAATATTGTGACTATATTGTTTTGAGAGACAGATCCTTAATAACTTCTCTAATTGAATTTGATCATTTGTTGGGTTTTTTTCACTTCATAGGGACAGAATGTCAAAATGTATAGTTTTTTTTTAAATTTGATGGTCAGTAGTTTCACAAAAGTCAGTGGACACTTCTCTGATTCAATACATTTCTTGTTGGCAGTGTTTTCATTCACATACTTTCTCAGCAAATTTATACTTAGACTTAATTTTTAGGAAATTTTGACTTTTTTTCATAACAGTTCAAATATCTAGTATTATCTCAACAAAATATGTTCTGACCTTATATTTTAGATTTTTCATACCTCTTACAAATGATTGACCAAGTTAACCTGCATACACCTAATTTTATCTGATCTGATTGCATTTGAGAACGTCAGTGACTTGTTTATATACACTGTTCCCTATTTGATTTTTTTTTGTGATTAATTTGTATACTAAACACTGCTAAGATGCTACTTGAAATGAAGTTTCAAGCTAAGAAATTTCAGAATGCATCTTCTTTTGTACAGACATATTTAAGGAATCACAGATGTCCTATATGCCAGATTTCACAATTTGAACAAATAACTGCTAAAAATACACAAACTGTCAACTGTGTCTTACTGACAGAAACTGTCTCTAGGTAAATTAGTCTTGCATTTTCGTTAGTGTAAATTTTCCTGGTAGAGTGATAGCAAACCCACAAAATACAACAAATAAATTGCCATGTTAAAATATATACTTGATTGGATCTAATTTTATGTGGTATTGTAAATAATGTTGGTATCTGCTTAGAAAAAATCAGCAAAAATAAAATAAGCATATTACATGTCACCCTCAGTCAAATGACTTGTATAAATATCTTAGCCCTCAATATTAACATTTTAAAATAACTCATACCCTGAGCTTCCTGCATTAAGATCTCATAGCTGTAAGTAATATTTCATTACCTGAGCTTGCAGAGAGTATTTAGTCTCTCACTGTAGCAAATTAGCTGTGAAGGTAATATGATTTGAAATGAACCTTTTCAAAGCCATGCCAAGTAGGTTCCTTTCCACATGGTTCAAGGTTAATTATATTTATCAAGAGGGCAGTAAAAAGGGGCAGTGAAGATGCTAACAGACTGGTGGCAACAACATAATGGGTGCGTCTCCAACGTTTTACATTTCTCAAAGTTGCAGTTATTGATAAAATCAGAATGAGGACTGTGTTTTGTGATCGTTTTTCATTGTTTTTATGCATGACAAATTAGGGCAACAAATTGACATGCTTTTTTGAGCTGCTATATGCAGTAACAAAGGAAACAGTGACAGATCTTATTCATTAGGAGCTAGATCTCAAAAATGAAAAATGCGAAGCATAAAATATATAAAAAATGCATGGCAAGGCTCAGGTTCATTTTGAACACTTTTTTGTTTATAAATATTCTTTATCAGTCACATCTGTATTTTACAGTGCAAGTTCAAGGAATGTAGAAGGCAACTCTAGTTAAAAACAAAGACATTATTTAGGAATATTTGGATTGGAGTATAGCTTTCACAGGACAGACATCTAAAACTCCTACCTCTCAGTGGATTCATCTGTATTTTCGTCTGTGATCATCTGCAACTCCTGTATATTTTTACTTGAATCTTCTTTGACACAATTTTCCTCTGTGCTTGCTTTGGGGATATCCTCATTTGCTCGCAGCTGTTCTATGAGGTTTTGTTGATGCCAGGTTTGAATAGATCGGTGGTGCACAGGGGTTGGACCTGGCACTGGTGCCAGTATATTGTGGTGAACAGGACTGTTGTTTTTCTTTAGCCCATTTCTGTCCCGAGAGTGGCTCTTCAACCTATTCTGAACCGGTGTCCCTCTATGCTCATATCCTTCCTGAAGGCAGCCTCCAGTGCCTGTGGAACCTTGAGAGGGGTGACTGAACCACCTCCAGCGTAGCCTTAGGATCTGTTTCACATCAAACTCTTTCTTTCCAGAAACTGACATTTTTGCAGGAAAAAAGAACAAAAGCCTATTCTTTTAGAAAGGAAATGGATTCTTTGTTATCTCTTGTGTTTCAGCACCTCTTCTTAAGAAAAGACAACAAAGGAACAAATACCAGTAGCCCTCTTTTTTTCTGACTAATATACTGCTAGCACTTCAAGCCGATGCTAAGCTGCTGTTAACTGTATAGGTGGGAATCCATACTGACAGGATGATGAGGTCAGACCTTAAACAAGTAAATCAGCTTAGCACAGGAAAGCAGCTACCATAACACTACCCAGCTGCTAAGCTTACATACAGCACTACAGCACAGAGCTCTCAGATATAACCTAGCCTCACATGATCCTAAGGGATCTTAGGCAGCAACTTAAGATGCAGAGAAGCACATACAAATAAAGTGATAAGATCTTGTTTCCCATGAGGATTTGCATGAAGCCTGCTAATAAACAATACTGCATTTCGCTACAAAATTATGAATGGTGAACTACTTATGTGGATTTTGCTAATGATTCACTGTGAAAGTATCCTGCAGCTCACATTTTCCTTAACAGGTTTACTACATTTATTGCAGTAGACCTCACTTTACTATGTGAAATATCTATAAATAACCTTAAGTGTCAAAGTGCTTACCTAAAAGAAAGTGAAGTTTCTTATTTAAAAAACATTGTGCCATAGTGTATGAAATATTTTTTAACTAGGGTTAGCATTTCTGGTGTATCGGTCTGACTAAGTGTGGGTATGAGAAAAGGAAGAGCTTATAAATATTGGAGGAGAAACCCTCCCTAAATGACCATATCTGTGAAAAACATAGTGCTTCCTGGCTAAATTCCTGTGTAAACACCCTCTTGCCCTTGTACAGACTCTGTAAAAGGGTTGGATTTTTTTAAACCATTCTTTTGATAGTGTGCATCAAAACATGTTTTGAACCAAATTAATTCTATTTTAGAGATTCTTTATTAGACAAGCATTAAATGTTCAGAACTGTGTGAAATGTATTATAAATATTAGATAGTAACACACACAACTTTGTGACACACAAAAACTAATAGTATTAAAAAAAGACACTCAGTTTGTCTTTCTTGGCAATATATCATGTGTAGTTGTCTGTGTACCATTCTTTAAGTACTGTTTAAATAACTGCTAGTGATAGTCAAACCTCAAAAGACTGCGGTTCAGCTTGGATAAGCCCTGAGAGGTGTGGGTACTGATCCAAACTTAATGCAGCACTTCCCCCATCCCCAATTTTTTTGCTCTCTCCTCCAACTTACCTATATTGTTCTCCATTTTCCTAACATTTCTCTTTTCTTGATCTCCAAAATTTCACTGTCCAACAACACTCAGATTCTGAAACCCACTTTCCCTTTCCTGTCCTGGCCCTTAGAGTCAGGGATAGTTTAAATCCAAGGAGTATGGGATGAGGACAAGGCAAAATGAATAAGGGATAGGACTGAAGAACCATCAGACTTTATTTATGTTGGGTCATGAGGTTTCATTCCTACTCCCAGCATCCATGCCAAATCTAGATAGTATCGGGGGTTGGAGCAGTGTGAAATTAATCAGGAGAGCAAGGGAAGAAAGAGTTTGAGGGAAGGGGGAGAAGTGAAATAATGGAGGAGCACAAGAGTGATTTACATATATGAGGGAGGGGAAAGTAGTTATTTGCAGGTGTGGTGCTTCAGGGAATCTATCTGTACAACCTGTGAATTCTGGTTGGTATTGCAAAGTTTTTATGAAATTGCTTTATCGTGGAACACCTCTCTATCTGTTTGTCCACCACTGCTGGCAAGGGTGTGTTACATCCTTTCCAGATAGGGGTCAATAGTATGTTGTTAGGACTCAAAGACCACCTATTCAGATGGAAACACCTGAATTACAATGGGCTGGCTAGACCTGGGGACTTCCCCCAACTTGTCCACAAGGAGTGCAGAAGTGCAAAATTCCCAAACCAGACTGAGACAGAGGACAAAGTCGGAGTTTTAAAAGGACTCTCAGAGTGGGAACTGAGAGCCACACATGAAGTTTTGGGCAGGAGAGGAGAAGGGGGTGGACTGGCCAGGTCAGAGGAGATAAGTTGAGGAAAGAAAGTTCCTTGTTGTTCAAGTGATTGCATATTTCCATTAGACTAGGTGTGTGTGCCTCGGGTACTCTGGTGCTGAAGTGATTTCCTTAGCAGTACCTCTAGGGGTGATGACATCTCTGCCTTGTTGCTTCCCCACCCCCCAGCCCCGGTCCAAACTGAAGGTATAAAAAGGCAGGGCCATCCTGCCTACCCTTCAGTTCCTGCTTACCACCCATGGTCAGTGGTCGTCATATACTGTCAATTGTTCCTCTGTGAATGTGCAGTTAGTGTTTTGCCTAGTTAATGGTACTCATAAGGGGGTCCTCAAATCCTCTTTTCTTTCTTTTCCTTCTTTTTCTTTACCTATTTCCTTCCACTGTTTATAAATTAGGCAACTCCAGACTCTGCCTGGTATGCAGGGAGCCTGTGCCTACATCCCCTGGCTTCAAACCTTGCTCCAGAGAGGCTCGTGAGCAATGGTCTCATTCCCTGAAGTTCTTGAGTGAGGATCATGTCAGGGACAGGTGTCTCATTTGCCAAGGCTTCAAGACAAGAAACAAGAAGGTGAGAGAAGAACCACTCAGGTACATTGTTATAGAGGCCTCCCTTCACCATGCATTGTCTTGTTACCACCTCGACCGATTACAGGGAGTTCCTCTCTGCCCAGAAATGTTCCCCTGGCCTTACCAGAAGAAAGAGATAGGAGGAGATCTCCTTCACCAAGGCACTCTTCAAAGAGACATCATTGCTCAAAGCCCTCTCAGCCTCTGAAGCCAAAGAAAGGGACAGCTTCCATGTTGTCAAAATCTTTGGTGTGGGAATCCTCAGCTGCAAAGGCTAGCTATTTTGGTATCAAAGGTAGAGCACACCCTTTAGCTTGGCGCTGTCCAGTACTGCTCCCTACTGGCTCCATCAAGGCAGAACCATTGACTGTCTGGTTCCTCAGTTGGTACCATCAAGGCTGGCTGTTTCCTTGTAGCCAGCACTGGAGCTGTTGCCCTTGATCACAATGGGCCAATCAGCCCAGAGGCCTACACACCTGCAAAAGATCTCTTGAGCCCCTCAGTACCACCATTGCTGATTAATCAGACCAATAGTGTCTTCTCAGAGCTGTTGCACATGATGCATATGTTGCCTTCCGTGTCAGCATCCATTATGACAACAGTTGCTTTTTTTTTTTTTAAATTAATGGAGATATCCTATCTCCTAGAACTGGAAGGGACCTTGAAAGGTCATCAAGTCCAGCTCCCTGCCTTCACTAGCAGGACCAAGTACTTATTTTGCCCTAGATCCTTAAGTGGCCCCCTCAAGGATTGAACTCACAACCCTGAGTTTAGCAGGCCAATGCTCAAACCACTGACCTATCCCTCCCCCCGCTTCAGGTCTAGTACCACATTCATCTATCATGATGTCAGCTCCAATACCAACAGTAACTGCTCTGCCTCAGCATACAGTACTGATAGCCAGGAAGTCCATTATGTTGCCACTGGTATTGCAGTCCAGTCATAGATCTTGGTCCCGATCTGTGATGATGCCACCCAGTATCACACCTCCCTGCCCTGCAGAGTACTCATACTCCTCCTCAGAGTCTGAAATGGGTTTCTCAGTCTCCAACTACAGGGAATCTAGGGCATCCTCTAGAGCAGTGTTTCCCAAACTTGGGACACCACTTGTTTAGGGAAAGCGCCTGGCAGGCCGGACCGGTTTGTTTACCTGCTGCATCTGCAGGTTCAGCCGATCGCGGCGCCCACTGGCCGCGGTTCGCTGCTCCAGGCCAATGGGAGCCGCTGGAAGCAGCGCGGGCCGAGGGACATACTGGCTGCCACTTCCAGCAAGTCCCATTGGCCTGGAGCAGCGAACCGCAGCCACTGGGAGCTGCAATCGGCCAGACCTGCGGACGCGGCAGGTAAACAAACCAGCCCGGCCCGCCAGGGGCATTCCCTAAACAAGCGGCGTCCCAAGTTTGGGAAACACTGGTCTAGAGATGGTGACTGCTCTTGTAGGAGCCATCATGACAAGAGCAGATAGAGAGATTGGAGGGTCTGGTCTAGACATAGTTGGCCTCAAGTACTATACCAGCTCCATCACTGGCCCTCCGCTGCACTGCAGAAACCAACCCCCAAGAAGGGAAGTCTCTCCACCTGGTACCAATAGATAGTTGGAAGTTGGTACCAGGCAACTGCTACACTACAGAAATATATCCCTTGGGGGCGAAGTGTCCCTGTGTGATAGTGATAGGTTCCTTGACCCTTCTGTGCAGCACCCAGGACTGGGACTGCCTATTGTTGGTTTCAGACAGCCTTCTATGTCTGCAGTTTTCAACCAGCCCCAGGAAGGTTCTAACCTGCCTTCTATGTATACATTGTCCTCATTGGGAGCAGGTTGTCACATTTCCTAATCTCATGGCAGTCCATCACCACTACCAAGTGAGTGCTAAGCACAGTGGAATCAGGATATATCCTGTGTTCCCTTCCTTACTCCCCATCTTCCCACTCCCTTTTCAGGGACCCATCTCACAAGTCAGTTCTGAGGGCAGACATGTTCTTTAGGAGCCATAGAATGAGGGCCTCCTCAGTATCTGGACAAGGGGTTCTACTCCCAATACTTCCTAATACACAAAGCAAAAGGAGTCTTAGGCCCATGCTGGACCTTCAGAACCTAAACAAATATATCAAGAAATTATAGTTCTCCATGATCTTTGCTACAACTATTATCCCTTCATTAGATCCTGGAGACAGGTGTGCTGCCCTTGACTTGAAGGATGTATATTTCCAAATCACTATTCACCCTGGCCACAGAAAACATTTAAGGTTCATAGTAGGAGGAGATCACTTACAGTTTACAGTTCCATGCGTTAGCCTATCATCTGTACTGAGGGGTGTAAACAAATGTATGGCAGTGCTAGCAGCATACCTCTGCTGATGTCCAAGTATACCCCTACTAGGACAACTGGCTGCTGTGGGACTGCTCTTGTCAGTGAGTGGAGGAAGTATCCGTCAAATACTCCTCCTGTTTCGATGTCTAGGCCTGGAAGTGAGAAAGGAGAAATCAATGCTAGTACCCCTTCAGAGAACAGAATTTATCAAAGCAGTCCTTGATTTAAGTGTAGTCAGGATGAGACACACTCACACCTAGTATAATTGGCATATGCATCACATCTTAAATAACAACAATTATGAAAGATGAGTAACCATTCTTTTCAGAATACAAGTCATGCACTGCAACAGAAAGGCCCTGACCCCAGCCTAAAGAATGCTCTGAAGTGGTATGGATATGCCGGTAGG